TCTTCCTGGGAGCCAAGTGTTGAGGACAGCTGCACCTCTATCAGTCTCTGCCGTGACAGTGCAGGCTGACCCCTTCGATCCCCGCAGCAGCTGGACTTGCTTTGTGTTAAGTCGGTGAAAGCTGAGTTTTCCTAGTCTACAGCTAACACTATCCAGACTAACGGAATAGTGAGATGCTTTCTTAAAAACCTGTTTTGATTGTGATTTTGAGACAGTCAGGTGCCTCCGGGAGGAAGTGGGAGGAAGCTGTGACGGCAGGCCAAGGTGGGAAGGATCTAGAATGGCAAGCAGTGGCTGCAAAACAGATTTCTGTAGCCAGTTGTTGTTGGTACTCTGCGCTGTTTGTAACAGTCTCTATAAGGATTTCTCATCAAGTTAAAATGTAAACTTTCTTTTTTTCTATTTTCATCTTAAACTTTTCTTGGCCTGGGAAAAATATTTGTAAATCATCTCTGATATGCACAGAACTGTCTCAAGCACCAGTGTTACAAAGAATTAGTTTCTCTTCACTGCAGATCCTTGTCAGAATCCCAAGATAAAAATGCAACTTATTCTAAACAACTCAGGATGTATCATTTAGCATATATCCATTCATCTACCCACCATTCCTCTTACATACCCATCCATCCAGTCACCCACCCACCCACCCAGCTATCTACCCACCCACCCAGCTATATACCCACCCACCCATCTACCAGGTGGCAGGACACCCCAGGGGGATACACCTTTGGTCTGATGGGCTGACAGGGCTGCTTCCCTTTCTGTTCTTCCCAACTTCTCCATGCTGACTGAAAGCTGATTCGGGCGTTTTGATGTTTAATGAGACCATAAGATTATCCTTTAATCAGAAACTCTGTGAAGATACCAAGAGCAACCTGAAGAGAGCCAGGCACACGGCTTGGACTAAATCAGTGGCTCACAACTTTTCCGGTATTGAGAATTACCTGTCATGAAAAATACCGGCTTTCCTCTATCCCCACACCTACTGCGTTAGGATCGCTTGAGGAGAGGTGTTCAATAGTTGCGCGTGCGTATGCATGTCCACATGTGTGCGGGAACGTGTATATGCTGTGCATGTGGAGGCAGAGGCTGACATCCAGTATCTTCCTCCATGATACTCACGTTCTCTGTGAGGGTTACGGAGGCAGGGTCGCTTGCTAGACACAGAGCTTGCAAATTCAGCCAGTGTAGGGCGCTAGCCTGCTCCCAGCGGCCCTGTGTCTGCTGGAATTATGGCAGGCCACCCTGTCCACTGACTGTGTGGATTCTTGGGAACTTGAACTGCACACAGTCCTCAGACTTGCACGGCAATTACTCACCGAATCATCACTGCAGCCCCAGAATTTTTTTTCTTTTTTTTTTTTTTTTTAAACATTAATCTTACTCACATTTTAACAGTCTCATATGGTGATAAAACACTAGCTTGGCTTGCATTCGTGAAATGAGTTTCTGACCTACCGAGGTTCAAAGTCAGCCCTTGGTACCATGAGATGGGAATGGGGGATATGAATGAACAGTCTTATCTTGCTGGAAGTGTAGTTTCCCGGGTGGTCACGTGGCCTGGAGGAAGAATGGGTGGAAGGAAAGTCTGATTGCACTGCTGTCATGGTAGTCTGAGCTCCAGAGGGCCATCTGGGTGAGCGACTCTTCCTGTTCGACATTTAGTTCTTCAGAGCTATGGGATCTTGTGGTAATATTCCTAAAACTCAAGCCAGCCCCTGCAGCTGGTGCTCAATCAAGAAGCAGCCATTTCGAGCGCTAAAGTCACAGTGGGCCTTGACAGATATTTTTGTGAGTGCTTGCAGGAGGGACGCTCAAAGTAATTTAGACTACATGAAATTTTTATTTCATATTTATTTTTAAAACTCTCAGAGAGCCCGGGGTGGGGGGGATGGCTCAGTTGGCGAAGCACTTGCTTCACAAGCAGAAGGACCCAAGTCTGGTTCCCCAACCGTGTATAGAGATAGCTGGGCATGGTGGTATGCTTGCACTCCTGTTGCTGAAGAGGCAGAGGCAGTGGTAACGTGGATCTTGGCTAGCCAGCAGTCTGCCCTAGTCAGTGAGCTTCCGGTCAGTAAGAGACCCTGTCTCAAAAGAAGATGTACAGTATCTCTGAGGATGATATCCAAGGTTTTCCTGTAGCCTCTACATGCATAAAAAAAAAAAACATATACAAGCATAAACACCCCCCCCCAAGACAAGTATAAACTACTTATGTAAGTTCCTAGGGCTTCCATAAAGAAAACAATCAAGGTGGCTCAGAGCAATAGCAATTTGTTCTCTCATAGGTGTGAAGTCTAGATCAATATGTTGGCAGAGCCAGGCTCTCTGAGGACTCTGAGGGAGAATCTTTCTTTGCATCTTCTGGTGACTCAAATTATTCCATGGCTGATGGCTGCAAACTTCAATCTAACTATAGCTTGGTCGCCACATGGCCTCTCCCCCCAACTTCTCCCTCTGTGTCTCTTCTCTATGCATCTTAGAAGGACAATGGCCATTTGTGTTAGGGCCCATCTAGGTAACCCAGGCTGCCTTTATCTCAACATGTTTTATTACATCTACAGAGACCTTTGCCCCCCATGCAAGGTCACAGTCATTGGTTCAAGGGCTAAGACCTTTTGGGAAATCATCATTCAACCTGGTATCCTACCTTGCCATAATATAGAAAGCAAACCACATACAACATAACTTAGTGTCTGTCTGGAGTCGACAGAATGTTTGCGGAGCCTTTAATTATGAATGGCTAAGGAACATTTGGCGCTGTTCTTGGTCTTACCCATCCCTGTGTCTATTCTAAGTAACCCCTGCCTTCTTCTCAGATGTCCATATCTATTCTCTGTGTGAAGCAGGCGTCATGCTGAGTTTGTTGCTGTTCCCTTGTTTGACTCAACATCCTGCTCCGTAGCCCAGGATGGCCTGAAACTCTCATGGTCCTCTCGCTGCTGCAGCATTCCGAATGCTGGGATTACAGGCGTGTACCTCCACACCTAGCTGGTTGCCCTTCGATACAGTGGCCCTTACGCGGTCGGAGTGCTCAGCTTCTGTTTACATCCACTGGAAGTTCACTCCTCACAGAAAATTGCTGCCCCCAACGTGACAAGCATTTCTACGGTGGCAGCAGTTTCTCCATGTGCAGGCACTCCAACTCCATTATTTCTCAAGTATGACACCGTATTATGATAAGGCTTTCTGCAAGATGTCCACAGCCTTTAAATGTCTGCCAGACAGGAGGCTGGCTCTGGTGCACAAGACAATAAATGGTAGGAACAAAGCCTTAAGGAGCTTCCTGCTGCTTTTCAAAAGTAGCTCTCCTGGGTTTTGTTTTCAGAGGCCACTGTGAGCTCTGCTGGCCCTCAGCAGCAGCATGCTGCTTGGCTGGCATTTTGCTATTGATCAGTTTCCTTTTTATCGATTAACTTTGAAGGTTCACTCTGAGCGTGTCTACCAGACTAAACTTGGTAGGGTCTCTCCTCAGACAGAGCTTGCCTATCCTGATGGACAAATAAAGCCACAGGGATTCTAACTAGATAACTAAGACATCCATGACATCAGCACAGAGCTGGCCTTTATTAGAGGAAGGGGATGGGGACAAGAAGAAGGGAGGGTGGGGCTGGTAGGACTTGAGGGAGGGGGCTTCAATTGGGATATATAATGAATTAAATTGTAAAAAGATATTAATAAAAAGAGCAAAATAAAATAAATCACTTAAAAAATAAACGTTGCTCCTAGACTAGACCCTAGCTAGGTTTAAAGACCTGTCTCAGAACCAAGCACTTTCTAGAATGGCTCAAATGGCTCAAGGCTTGACCTTTACAATATGCTCAATATGTACAATATGATATAGTTACATATGAGCTCTTTAGATTTAGATTGTGTTCTATGGCCAGTTTCAAGGGGAGGGGTCATTCCCATTGGCAGAGTTCTAGATTGGATGTCTGTCTTCAGAATTAGAAAAGTAGGTCTTTCCCCAAGCCCATCTGTCTTTAGCCCACGACTGTTTACAGTTGAAAGTCTACAGAACAGGCTAGTTGATTTACATAATTGAAAACTGGGGCAAAATATCATTAATAGTGTCAGAGATTGGCTCTCTTCCGTTGGTTGGGTGGGTCAATACTCAGCAATGCTTGCAGCCAGGAGCCTATCAAAGTTGTCCTCTGAGAGGCTCCACCCAGCAACGGTTTGAAACAGATGCTGAGACTCACAGCCAAACATTGGGTGAAGCGTAGGGAGTCTGGTGGAAAAGAGTGTGTGCGGGGGAGGAGGAAAGGACCTAGAGCTGACAAGAGCTCCACAAGAAGACCAATAGATCCAACTAATCATGGCCCAGTGGGGCCTGTGGAGTCTGAAGCACCAACAAAGGACCATGCATGAACTGGACTTAGGTCCTCTACATATGTGGAGCCAATGGGCAACTCAGACTTCATGTGGGCTCCCTAGTGAGGAGACATGGATTCTGTTGCCTGATTTTTGGTCATTTCCCCCTGACGGGACTGACTTAGCAGGCTACAGAGGAAGAGGATGAACTCAGTCCTCATTTGATTTGATGAGCTAGGGTCGGTAGGTAGGGGAAGCCCCTTTTCTGAGGAATAGAGGAGGGAGGATGGGGGAGGAAGGGTAGGTCTGGGAGGAAAGTAAGGAGAGGAGGGGGCTACAACCAGGATGTAAAGTGAATAAATAAATTAATTAAAAAAAAAAAGAAAGTTGGGGCAAATGAAAAGAGGCTCGAGGAGCTGTGCCCTGTGTATTTCAGGAAAGGGTGGGGGACCCAAATGCACAGCAGCTTAAAAAACTGAAAGCATTAAAATCAATATTTAAAAGATTCATTTAACTGTAACAAAAACACCTTAGAAACAGATTGTTTTTTTTTTTTTCCACCATGCTTTGCAGAGGTAAGTGGTGTTGTCTGAGCAGAGATTGGTCACTTGATGTAGGGAACCTGCAGAAAAGAACTCGATGTTCCATTGAACTGGAAGCAAATTATGTTGCCGAGGAAACCAGCTCCTCTGTGCTTCTCAGGTGAAAAGATGTTTGAGCTTTAAAACAACAAAAACAGAAGCTTACTTAAATGAGGAGTATTTATCTGCATTGCCCAAAAAAAAAAGTGTGGTTAGGGGAAAATGAGAGTATTCTTGCTGCAATTTGACAAACTGTAATAAAGGCAGAAAATTACGGGGAAGGCGTTTGACTTGCTTCCTATGAAGGATGCTTGTGAAATTCAATTGCAAATTCATTAACGTCATTTATGATTATGGATGTGGTGTGTCTGCAAGGTGTAGTGCCATTTTAAAACTAATTTTGACCAGTCGGTTAATAATTTGGTTTTATTTCTCTGGATACACGTTCCGCACTAGGGGACTAAAGATTTATCAATTTGAAAAGAGACTCTTTTTTTTTTTTCCTCCTTTTCTATGTACCCGGAAAGAGAATCATGCGTGAAGAAAAGGGGAAAACATGGCCGTTTTTAAAAACTGGAGGGTAGGGCAGGGTTTGCTTCCAGCTGGTACACTAGCAGAGCCTTATGCAAGTGTGACATTTTGTGTACTTAGGCTCACTGAGTCACTTCTTAGGTGTGATTTCAAAAGAGTTCATTTGTATTAACCTGCCTTTGGGACACTTTGAGTTCCCTGTGCCTTTATGCTTGCTGTCTAGCAAAGACTGTTTAATAATGAAGTGCATTTTTAATCAAAGATTTCCTCTGACTCTAATCCCTCATTTCCCAATGGGCCTAACCTGATTTACTATGCTGAACACTCTACAAGGAGCCTACATAGCCTCGGTTTTCTCTTGAGAGATGTATGTTGACTTTTGAGGCAGCAAGAAAAAAACAGTTTTGACTGCTGGATGTACGTGAGTTCTGGACCATCCATCCACTTGTCACCCCATTGAATACTTTTTTCCCCAGTGCACAAGGCAGCAAAGGAGCCAAAAAGATAAATAGGAGCCAGTCCCTGTCTTGGTAATTTCTATTATTATTATTATTATTATTAATTTATTTATCATTTATTACAATTTATTCACTTTGTATCCTAGCAGTGGCCTCCTCCCTTGTCTCCTCCCAATCCTTCCTTCTTTCCCCCTTCTCCCCCTATGCCCCTCCCCAAGTCCACTGATAGGGGAGCTCCTCCTCCCCTTCCATCTGATCCTAGTCTATCAGGTCTCATCAGGAGTGGCTGCATTGTCTTCCTCTGTGGCCTGGCAAGGCTTCACCTCCCCCCCCCCCCCCCGGGGGAGGTGATCAGAGAGCCTGCCACACATTTTGTGTCAAAGGTTTTATGTGTGGGTTGGTGTCCCCCTCCCTTTGCTGGGAGTCCCACCTGGTTGAATGTGACATTGAGCCAAGATCTAGATGAAATGAGGACCAAGGGAAGTCATCCTGCCTCCAGCTCTCTTGCACTTATATAACTCATTCATTCATTTGACAAACATTTCTCAAATGCTTGCCACATCCGTGTGCTCTTCCCGAGCTCTCTCGTGTTTTTCCCTGCTCCTGAAACACCTGGGCCCTGAGGGTGATACCCCTGATACCCCAACCAAGGAACCTGCATGGAGAGGACCTAAAAACCCAGCTCAGATGTAGTCCATAGACTTAGTCTCCAAGTGAGTTTCCTAGTAAGGGAAACAGGGGCTGTCTCTGACATGAACTCAGTGGCAGGCTCTCTGATCACCTTCCCCTGGGGGGTAAGGGGATGGAGCATGGATACCTTTGAGCAGTTACAGGTTTGTTTAGTCACCACTGCCCACTGTGAAAAGAAGATTCTCTGACTGTAGCTGACAGCAACGCTGTTCTATGGGCACAGACATAGTTATTTAGAACCGAGTTTGATGGACATATAATAAGCATTTAGCAAAACAAGATTGGTAGTTTGCCCACTAGGGCCTCTGAACCCCCCAGCCACTGTCTTCTAGAGCACCAGATCTGAGTTCCTACCTGTGGAGTGGGCCTCAGGTCCAGTTAGTACATGGTTGGTTACTCCTGTAACAGACTTGTCACTTTTGCATCACTGAGCCCATTTGTGGGCCAGTCAGTAGTGTTATACATAGGTCTATAGTTGGGCCAGACTATTGACAGTTATTCCTCCGCAGCCTGCACAGCAAGTTCTGCGACTATGAGATCTTGTGGCTGGGTAGTTGTGGCATACACCTTTAATCCTAATACGAAGGAGGCAGAGACAGGTTGATCTCTGTGAATTTGAAGCCGGCCTGACCTATACAGAGAGTACAGCCAAGGCCACACAGAGAAACCCTGTCCTGAAAAACAAAACAAAACAAAACAAAACAAAACAAAAACCAACCAAACAATAAACAAAAAACTTTAGATCTTATCAACAGGGAAAGAAGTTTCCAGCTTGACTCATTTTTCTATGCATGTGGCCATAAACCTTTTTTTAAAAAGTATTTTATTGGCATATATTAATACATAACAATGCATATAGACTGCTGATTCTGCTTCAAGTTGGGACACAACAATTTACCATTGGTAGAAATGAAAGAAAATGTGCCCTACTGTTATGATTTTTTTGTGGTTATGGACATGAAATTTCAAATGAAAATGAAGAGAGAAAAACAAGATTATCATTTGATAGGTCTAGATCCTCACCACCAACACAAAACTAGATCAAGAGCAAGGCTGAAGAGTAGAACTTATTTGAGACTTCAAGAAAAAAAAATACAGCGGGCAAACCGGATATTCAAGAGAGAAAACCTTTTAAAGGCTGGGGCCACAGCTTTGGTTCACCCAACACGACCTCACCTCCTAACTCCTAACTCGCTTGTCGCGGTGCAGTGGAGAAGCTACACAAAATCGGAGAACTCCAGATTTGCTGCAGCTCAGTGCGTTGAAGCAGGCAGAAACCCAGGTCCGGCAGGATTAAAAAGAATGATATGTAATATTTATGCTTTTCAAAAATGCAAACCCCATGGACATCTTTGAAATTGTACGGGAGGCTAGAATTTGTTCGTATGAGCAGGCGCTGATTTCTTTGTAGTATCCCGTCTTGCTTTAGAGGTCCGCACGCCTTTGAAGCTCAGGCCCCGCCAAGGTTTCTTTGCCAGGAGAAGCTTTCACTGCCAGAAGAACCGTGGGCTCTGCATCCAGAGAAAACGCAGAACGAACCTACTGGGGTTTTATTTGTTTGCTTGTTCGTTTTCTGTGTTGGTGAAGCCAAAGCCTTGTATGTTGCATCATGCTTTACGTTAAGTCCCTGGGCATGGTTTTGGCAGTCTCCAGGGCTGACCTGATGTCCAGAGTCATTTGTCTTGTTCAGACTCCTTCCTTGGCCGTCCACTAAGCACCTCTGGTTGAACCTGAGCTGACTGAGGCAGACTTCTGAGTTCTTCATCCCACCTGCCTCTGTTCCATCATTCCCCAGCTATATAAAGTGGCACTCTCTGTTTTTGGAAGCCAAAAATCTTAGAGTTATTTTTGACTTTTTTTTTTTTTTTTTTTTTTTTTTTGAATGCTGTTTGGGTGACTCAGCCACACCTGTTGGTTTGGCTGTGCCTTCGTTATTGTCAGCCAGGTACAAACCACTCTTATTCCCTTCTTGGATTTTTTATCTTATCTTTCTTTCTAGCTTCCCCTCCTAGCCTGGTCTCTCACAGTAGCAAATCAGGTCCTTTTATGTTCAAGCCAAACCTGCTAATCATTTATCACCACAAATAGAATCAGCTCTAAATTCTTACATGGCATATTGATAGCGCATGATCTGACCCAAACTATTTCCACCACACTTCTCCTTATTTACTAGCTCCTGGTATGTTCTGACTTTCTTAAGTAGGACAGCAAAGAGAGCCAGATGGTGCATGAAATATAAGCCTTTTTGTTATAAAACTGATGGATGAACTTAGCTTTAGATCTTCGGCTAAGAGAGAGCTGCAGTGACAGGAACAAGTGTCCTTTTCTTACAGAGTTAATATTCAAAGAAGATATATTTAAAGCACACATATAATGCTTTATATACAAACACATATATGTATATAAAATCCAAACATTAAAAAGAACCAGGTGGTAGACCTGAAAAGAGTTTGAAGGTGAATATGATCAAAACATGTTCTACAGAACTCTCAAAGAACTAATAAAATTTCAACATGGAAAAGAACTGGTGTACATATACATTCTCCCTCTGACACAGGATCTTGATGTACATCCCAGGCTGGCCTTAAACTCTTGAACATTCTGCCTCATCCTGTCGAGGGTTGAAACCTTAAGTGGATACCATTGTGTCTGGATAATATGAAACATGTGGAGCCTCCAGTTGAACTAACTATAGGAACAAATTAAACATTTTTGTTTTAGAGAAATAGGAAACACTTAGAGCCAACTGACAGGGAAAAGTTTATTGGTTATATATATATATATATATATATATATATATATATATATATATATATATATATATGAGTGTGAATATGTTAGTACCTATGTTTATTTATTACTTACTCTTATTTCTCAACACTTACCGTGATGGACAATTTTTTTTGATCACATTTCCTCTGTAATGAAGATAACTGTATGTATTCCATTGTCAGAAAGATGGCTCCTGTGTGCTAGGGTCCAGTATGCCTTATCAGTTGGTCTTTCTATGGCAGCATTCTGCAGACTTCTGGAAACCCCAGAACTCACTTGAAGGTTAACTTAAAGCATGGCTTATTAATCTTTCTTCTGCTGACATCAGTGCACCACTGATACAGAGTCACTGCCAAAGATGATCTCATGGGTTTGAGGACAAAGGAAGCAGTGCTCTGTGAATTCAACGGGAGTCTTGGGCCATTCTTGTTTTCTCTGGTAGGAGCTGTCTGTCAAGGTGAAAGAGGGAGTTTTGGTTCACTGCTACTGCGAGTATTTAAAAGTCACCTTTTCATGAATAGCTGCTAACAAAATGAAACACTGATTAAATATTAAAGATGACTTTAATTCTATCCTAAAGCATCTCACAGTTTCAGCTTATTCAAATCAAACATTTTCAAACCTTGTTGAGATTTACCTTGGAGCAGAACATTTCCCACGAGGGGAAGCATTTGGATTCATTTCAATCTTTGTTCAAGAAATACAAATTGATGCTTGCATCAAGAATAAGCAGGAAACACAATTCTTTATAAGGTCTCTTTAAATACTGACAATGTGAAGGAGGTACATTTCTTACCCACAAATGCATTATAAAACCTTACGCTGTTCTGCTTGGTTTCTTCTGTAAAAATCTTACGCTGAATTCTCTGAGGGGTTTTTGACCTCAAAAAGTTAAATCACCATGCTAGTTCTAGCTTTGCATAGACGTCTACTGTGTTTCTTATGCATTGTTCATTTCTCTTTTGGTAATTTCACTCCCCGTTTTTTTTTTTTTTTTGGCTATCTTTAGTATGTAGAATAAGCCACTCAAGATCCAGCTGTGTCCAGGTCAGTGTGCCTGTCCATCCTCTGGACAATAAGGACCAGTGTAGAAGCAAATTTAGTATCTAAGTGGTCCAGTAAGGCCCACTTCTGAGATTTGGGAGGGAGCATAGTAAAGGTGCTATATTTTACCACAACGCCAGAAGCTCACCCATGCTGTGGTCACCTTAAGCCAGCGATTCTCAGCCCATGGTGGCGATCCCTTTGGGAGCTGAATGACTCTTTCCCTGGAGTTCCCTAAGACTACCGGAAAACACAGATATTTACACTATGATTCTTAACAGTAGCAAAATTACAGTCATGGAGTAGCAACGAAAATCATTTTATTTTGGGGAGTCACCCACCACATGAGGAACTGTATTACAGGGTTGCAGCATTAGGAAGGCTGAGAGCCAGTGCCTTAAGCACACTGAAAGCAAAGCCATGCAGCCCAGGGGGTACTCTCTGTGTGATAATGCCTGAGATTTGGGGTTTGCTTATATCTGATTTTAAGTTAGGCGAAACAGCTTTTCTTTTCTATTCTGCTGACAGCTACTTGAATTGGCTTTTTGGAAACTTAAAAATAAGAATCAGGATCATTCTCTACAAAGCTTTCATTCTTATTAATAAACACAGAGCTGCATTACAAGCGACAGTAAATACAGAATGTTTAAGTCTTAGTAACCAAAGTTTTAGCATTTTGGGGATTTTCAGATACATACACATCACCGGTTCCTATCAACATTTATAAAGGTTAAACTTACTCTGCTTTACACACATACTGATATCCACATTATCCAGTATCATTCTGGTTAGAGGGACTCAGATCGCTTGTAGGCAGTTACATGGGAGAGTAGATAGCAGGCTGGACATAAAGCATTAATTCAGAGTGACTCTGGCAGCAGTCGGGACTGACCTAAAGTCAGTAGTTGGTGGTGAGCAAATACATCTGCAGGAAAAGAAGGTGGAGACAGGGATCACAGAAGATGAACATAAAGGAAAACTCCAGTGATAAAGAGACCAAATATGTGATGGCATATTTTTACATTGGAAATATTTTATAGCCTTTAAGAACTGTATTTTTAAATGTTTATATTTACAGAGGGTCCCTACTGTATTTCCTAGGCAGAAGGAGGCAATGTTTTATGGGAGTGCGGTTTCCTTTTAAAAAGAGAACACAATGGATATGAATTATCTTAGTTAAAACCAGAGTCAGAAGGCTCACCTGGAGAACAAACATGCTTGGTACTGCGGATATGCGGGCCAGGCACTTGTAGGTGTCTGCAACATGCCTGGCAGAGATTTGGGAATCAGGGAAAAGCATTCTAACGCTCAGAAAAAGAAAATAACCATCACCACCACCACCACCACCACCACCACCACCACCACCACCACCACCACCACCACCACCATCATCATCATCAAAACTCAGCATATGGGAATGAAGCCTAGAAGGGAAGGCAGACCCGGGTGCTATCCTGATGACTCACTTGATCCTAGAAGACCGTTCACTCTTTTTGCTTTCCTCTGTCAGTGATTTTTCAGGTCAGGTCCATCGACAAGGCATTTCTCCAGGGGGAACAAAATACAAGCGTCCTGTGAACAGACCAACAATCCGGCCTTCTAGAAACGTCTTGGTTGTTGAGTCAGTCCATAAATGCAGCTTGGTGACACGCTTTAGCTCGTTAGTGCTGATGTAACAAATTGCCACACAGTTGGTGCCCACTGATGTACAAATTCATTATCGCTGTTTGTGGTTCATCAGCGCCCTGAAATGTACCTTCGTGGGGTGAAATCAAGGTGTCAGCAGAACCGTGTCCTTTCTGGAGGCACCGGGGTACTATCTACTTAGTTGCCTTATCTTGGGGTCACCCACCTCTCTGGCCTTATGGCTCCATTTCAGAGCATTCATGCTCCGGAGCCTTCTCATGCTTCCGTTTGTTGCATTATCTTTGTTTGGTTTCCTCTTCCATTTATTTTTAAGCTAAGTTAAATTCATCTATTTAGCGTGTGCCACAACACCTTCGGAGGGCAGAGAGCTTGCAGGAGTCGCTCCTCTTTTATTAGGTGGGTGCTGGGGACTGCATTCAGGTCACAGGCCTGGCAGCGAACACCTCTAGCCATGGAGTTGCACCCTCCCTGACATTTCTCCTTCTAAGGATGGCTGCAGTTCCACAGGACTCCTCTGAACAATTTGGGATAATCTCTCTACTTTAAGCTCACCTCATTGGCAACCTAGAACCTTCATTCTCCTTTGCCAAGTAGCCCATATCCACAGAGTCTAGGGATCAGGGTGTGGGCATATGGTTGTACTATTGTGCTTCCCATGGACATCATTACATAGCTGCTAGAGAAAGCTCTCCGGTACTCACGGTGGACCTGACCTCTGTACTGGCTAAAGCCTCCCTGAGCCTCCTAATCACCCCTTGAACTGACACACCAGTGCCACCGCTGTCTGTATGACTCTTACATCAATTTTCATCCCACCCCTGTCACCTCTCAGGAGAGGCTAGGAAAGTTCTGAAGTGCTAGAAATGTCTGCCTCCCCCTTTCTTTTTGTGCTCAGCTCCTGGTCCTTGATGGGTGTTTGTTCTTCTGCCTCTCATTCACCTGGTTGGTAGGTGGCTTCTATCCTCATTGGCAGTTTCTTCCTGTCTCCCATTTTCCTTGGCTACCTCTTCTTCTCCCAAGTCTAAGTAAGTATTTGTGCTGTTAAGAACAACTTGATCATGACCTTCTTCTTCATCTTTTCTCTTTAAGTGATCTCACCTTTTGCTATGATGGCGACCATTTGATCATAAGCAGATTTGTATCTCCAGATATAACTTTTTAAAATCCGATCATCATCAGTTTTACATCTCTAGATATCATTTATTATAGCTCCAACTATATAGGCTTATATAGCCAACTATCTGCCAGGGCTCTTTAATTGGGTGCTTTGATGAACTATAAACATCTCAGATGAAGCCATGTTAGGACAAAGTATTCTTTTGATTATCTTCAACCCAAGTGTTTGCAGTCACTCATTGGTTGAGTATTCCTTAGTCTATGTAGCAATAGGAAGAGGGAAGTTTCCTGGCTTTTAATTGTGTATGCCAGACTCTACTCTAGCTTCCTTCTTGATAACATCCCCTTGGTGCAGACACTATCTTCTCTTCCATTTTGTATAAGAAGAGATTGAGGCCCAGGAAGGTTAAGTGGACTATGTAAGCAGTTAAGTGGTCCAGCCAGGCCTTGAGTCTTTGTAGCCTGACTCCTGTTACCCTTGCCAACTAGGTTAAACAGCTAAAAGGTCTCGGGTTTGCTTCCAGTGAACCCTGAGACCAGGCTGGCTGTGGAACCCCCAACACATGCCTTTAGGCCTTCACATTCATTTCCAGTTTGATAGGGAACTTGTGACATTTAAATTGTGTTTGCCTCTTCTTCTTCCTCTGGGATGCGGACATCCACTGAATCATTTCTATTTTCTCAGCATCCTGTGCTGGGCTGGGAAGGTGAAGTTGTTCATTAGAAACCATTTTGGTTGGACCTAATGTTTCTGTTTTGTATAGGCGTTATCATGTCACTCATGTTTCTGTAGCAGGCCATTCTCTTCGAACCTTCTCCTCCTGCCCAGGGCATCTCTACCCATTTGAATCACTATCAGGTCCAACATCCGATTTCCTTATTTCACAAACCTCAAGCTATTTCCTCATCTGATAGCACCTGGAATTCTCCTCAGGGGCACCTCCTTTAACTTGCCATGGCTGAGGGGGCGATTCTCCCACTAGCCTTCTCTCTAGCAGGAAACCGCCGTGTTCCTAACCTTTGCTCTGGAGGCAGTGTCAATATTTAATTTCATGTCTGCCCCATCTGCACATTCTTTCTGAGCGTATCTGGAGTCCGTGCGGAGAGGCACGGCCTCGGGCGTGAACAGCTGCTCTGATTGCCTGAGGCTTTGTCCATTAGACTAAGGGGCTCAAGGGTCAGGAGAACCTTTCTGCTCGATACCTTCCATTTTAACGTGCTCTCACTCAGGTCAGTGCCTCTGCAAGTTGCCATTAATCCTATAATGGTGGACAGGTACCAGGTGTGGTGAAAGTGTAAGAGTAGTTGGGAGGAGACAGTCCCATCAGAGTAGATAGACCTGGTTTCAAGCTTTGGCTTCACTCAAACCCTAGATGTTTTGTCTTCAGTGAATACTTGTCCTTATTTTTTTTTTTCCTTCTTGACATTAAAGTGGCCCCAGTGTCCTTATCAAATGGAACTATGTGGCACCTATATAACACTTGATGCAACGGTTTCAAAGAAAGAACACACTTAGGACACATCATAGCATCATGACCAGAAAGAAAGACCTTATAAAATTGATGTTGGTGGAGAGAAAAATGAATAGATCAATTCTTCTCCTTCAGACATGTGGGAAGAGAATGACTTCTGTGAATGCTTAATTGTATAAATAGTTATTAGGGTACCAAAAGAGTCTTCCAATAGCTGGGTCCTAAATTATGGCACCGTGGCACCAAATTCACTCACAGGAAGGATGCCAATGAAAGCTAACTACTCTCTTTCTCTCTCTCTTCCTTTCCCTTATTATTAAATGTCAGGTGGCTTGAAGTATATTGATCTTTGTGATAAGTTATATCTATTTCCACTCTTCTGGCTTATTGCATACAGCAAGCAGCTGTATATAATGTATGTACAGAGACTCCAGACTTCTCTTTGTCAAATGCCTTGCTTTCTGACCTCACTGCTGAATTACATTCCTTCCTGGGTTTTGACCAGCGAGTCAACAAAAGTCTGATGAGCTGTTTGTTGTGCATTTGTATTTTGAGAGACAACGCAGCAAAATCTGGAGGAAACATTATTTTCATCCTCTGTCATGTTAGCTCTGTGTTACTATAATGAAATCTTCACCCCCCCCCCAAGGTTCTAAATTCCCCGGTCGCCCCACCCTAGAGACCAGGTCACATGGGCCTCAGTGGGAACATTATATATATATATATCAAGCCATGGTAGTCTTCAAAAGTCTTAGTAAAGTTATTGGGACACAGTACAGCTAATGCCCGTGCCAGACAAATGAAAATGAATTCCAGCTTGTGTTTGAATGTCAGAACTTAATTATCTAGTATTTGATATATTTTTAAAAGTACTTAAGAATCAATCTGTCACTTCTTTGTAAAGACTCAAAATCAACACACTCTTAATTTGACCTTTCTTGAAAAACATGTTGGCAAAAATGATTAGACTACATTCTTCATTAAGACCACAATTAAAATGTTTTGGGATGGCTGTCAGTCTTTCTCCCCCGAGAAATGAATATTTTCTCTTGACAGTTACATACCCCCATCTTTCAAAGTACGAAAGATTACAGTTCATTGTGAATTTCGTGGGAGAACTGGATGTGAGGACGTTGAAATTATTTTTGACATCAACACTTTAGTGGTGAGAGAGGCTTGTATATTATATAGTTCCCACCAATGATCTGGGCCATGCGTAGCACTGTGCCAGGTATTATGGTGACATCCTATGTAAACAGTCATTTGGTGAAGAATATTTGTTAAGACAGTTAACCCCAAACACCATGGGTCCCCGATGGCTTCTGTATTTTTGAGACCTTTGAGGCAATGGTTTCTGTGTGCCATCATGTATGGGACTTTGAACTCTGGCAGGCAGTGCTGAGAACAGACTTTCAGAGGAAGCTCTAAAGCGAGGACTGGAGACATCATTGCACGTAAGCTAAGGGTGTTAGGAACAACAGAAGCTGCTTTCAGCCAGCAAACAAACACCTAGTGTTTGTTTTCAGAACTGGGGTGTGGCTCCTTTCCAGCTTTAAATCAAGTGCCTGAACTAAATATTGGCGTGCTTACCTGCTTAGCTCTGAAAATCGCACGTAAGACCCCTCTACGTAATACAGTTAGTGCCGCTGTCACATTATCGCCACACTTTCCTTTCTACGTATGGAAACTTCCTGCTTACGAGAGGACCTGGAAGAAATATTCTTCGGTTTCTCATTCTGTAAAGTAGTGATGGCAATGACTGGCTAACAGGAGTGTTATATGGATTGCATAAACTCACGCTTATGAGGGTTAAATCGGGCACCCCAAGACAGCAATGTTGTAAACGAGTTAGAGGCTTCTCTCTCAGCCAAGTCCCCAGGTAGTTTAACCTTAGAGCGTTGGCTTTGTGTCCGCTTGTGCAAGTACATATTTGTATACGAGTGTGGTGCACATTCGTGGAGGCCGGAAGTCAGAGTCAGGTGTTGGCTCTCAGATGCTGCCCACATTTTTTTTTTTAAGCTATCTTAGAACTCACTGAGTAAGCTGGACTGGTCAGCCAGTGAGTCCCGGGGATCAGTTTATATTTGTCTCCGCAGTACTAGGATGGCAAGTGCATGCCGACATGGATGCCTTTTCCACACGAGTTCCAGGGCTTGAACTCTGGTCCTTACTCTTGCAAGGCAGCACCTCTCTGACTAAGCCATCTCCCCAGTCCCTTGGTGTTGGTTTCTATCCAGTCGTTTCGCTCTCACCACATCTCTAAGCTGCCCGTAAAATGTGCACTTTCGTTGCATTGCGTTCCCTAGCTAACTGGTCTCATCTGGTTGGAGATGCTTAGATGCTGTCTTTATTCTGGCCCAGACATGAGCCTGGTTACAAGTCGGTGGTTCTGTTGCTAAGGAAGAAGGAGAGAGCAAAGA